TGTTGCCACCTGGCAACTAGCTGTTCCAAGGCAAATCACTGTCGGCTCAAACCTATCAAGCGGCCTTAATCGGCAACTGCATATTTCCTCTGTAAGGAGTGACTACAACATTGGCATCACTCTCTTCAGCGCGCAGGTTCGTCACTACTTTCCATTTCTTACCTGATCTTTTAACTTGTGTACACGCATAGGACTGCAGAAATCCAGATCTGGCTACATTTGGAGTTAAGTCACTGCATATTGAAAATTCAAAAGCCTTGCTAAAACATTTCGGCCCCCGACTCCAGAAAGTGCTCTTTTGAGTTTATCGCCAGTGGAAATGTTTTGTTGCTGTTGAAGAATCAGGCTGAATATCCTCTCGTTAAGCAACGTCTTTCATCGTTGAAAACTTTTGTACAATTTCACCAAAAATGCTTTTCAGAGCATCAGACATTGACATGGAAATATCTGAACCATCCTTATCGCGAGGAGCTTTATGTGACTCAGAAGCGACCATATTTTCGCGTAGAATAACACTACCTGCAATGAAATTCTGGTTAGAACTGAACGGGACGAAACGAAACTTTTATGAAAAGCACTGGATTTTACGGTGGCCATGAAATTTTCAAGTGAATAGCGGAGTCGTAATGAATTTGCGAATAGTTATCGCAGACGAACTGCCTACAAATGCGCTGCTGCAAGTAGCGGTCAAAGTACTGGTCTTCCGGTAAAGTACTGGTCAATCTTGATCAACCTTTATGAAAATATTGTTCATTTTTTATGAAAATAATTTTGGTACCAAGCAGGTTCATAATCCGGAAGGCCCTAAATTAAATTAAAACAACATATAGCTTCCCTTGAACAACAACAGCAATTTAGCTAAACTAATCTTAGTAATACATGAAAAAACCGTAAAAATGAAGATCATGAAATCACTGTACTAAGTGGTAATGGAGTAGTTGCAAGTAAGGGTCCAGCAAAAGGAAATCAAATGGTGGTGAAGCAAACGGCGTCCATTTTGAAACTGAAATTTGCAAAGACACAGCAAAATGATAAGATGAAATATTTTTTAAAAAGTGAAAAAAACTAGTAAAGAAAGCACTGGCAGAGTTGCAAACAGTATGGCTTCATTGCTGGTTCAAACGGTTACCAACGGAACGATCTGTTTTAACAATTATTGGTTCCATTGATGCCTCCGATATTGCTACTATTGCTGGCTGCTCT